CGGGCACGTCACTGCAACCCCCCCTGGCTTCTGCTCCGCGGCTGCTGAGTGACCCCTCATCTGGGACTCTCCTCAGCTCTTTCTGGGATAGTGGCGCGGCTGCCCCTCTGTTGGTCTTCCTTGGTCTCTTGTGCTCTGAGGGTCTCTGGATGTCTGGAGCCTGAATCTCCTCCATACCTGCTTCATGCCCTGGAGGATGGGGCTGTGGCTCCCCACACCCTCTAGCAGATCATTACATGAAGGAACCTTTTAAAAACAAGCGCGTCCATGCTCACAGGTGTACACACAGGTGCTCACACACATAAACAACACCCTTTTTGGCTCCTACCTCAAAGCACACTGTGCTGTCGATCCTACGTGCTGCACAATAATGTTTAATATTTAGTATTTACTGTCATATTCCCATAGATCATCGTGATGTTGTTTATTCTATTGCTCTCTTTTTTTGCTTGTTTTCTCTATTTTTCTTTCTCAACAGGTGATCCAGGTCAGTGATATATGTATTTTTTGTCTGTTTGTCTTGTTGGTTTTTGTTTTTTGCCCTTTATCACAGTTTCTCTTCCCCGCTGTTTTTCTTTCCCTACCTCTCTTTCTCCCCTTTCATTTCCCCAGTGATGTCCGTCCCATGTGTAGCAAGTGAAAATAAAATAAAATAAACACTAAAAACAAAGTGAATCAAAAAGACAATAGGGCAAGGCCGGGATGGTCCATTTGGTAAAGTAAATCCTTTGGGCATCTTTCTTGGCCTTTAGACAATAATTCTGATGGCAAAAGAACCAAACGGGACAGGTGCAAAAAAATAAAGAAGTCCAGTAGCTTTCTCCTTAGACTGTTACTGCTTGACATAAGCAGGACATCCTCCATCTGTGCTTTTAAGTCTGGACTTCCCTTTACTCTTTCCATTTGAAAAGGATTTTCAAATGAGGAGTGGAATCACCATTTTAAATGTTATTAGTAAATCGTGGATTTTTGAAACCATTTACTTATTACTATTTTTTCATATTGAGTTAAAAAAAAAAAGATTTTGAAAATTAGTTTTTTAATTTGGAATTTGAAAATAGTTTTTTAAATGAGGTTTTTATTGAGAGTTTAATTCTATTTTTGTGAAATTCATTTTTAGTTTTAAGTATTTATTGATGGATTACTAATTAATTTTGAAACTACAGTGTTTTATTTAAAATAAATTACTGAAGTAATGTATTATTTAATAATGTTTGAATAAATACAATTATTTCAAAAATGAATTTACAAATGCAGAATTCATTATTTAAGCACAGAATTCTTTGTTTTGATGCGTGTGGCTCTTGTGGTCCTCCATTTATCAAAGCAATGTTTCAGTGTGCTTTATAAATACATTTCACTTACTAATGATTCATACTTCAGCCGAACCTCAACTTGAACCATCACAACATGATAGGGATGATCATTTATGTTCTAATGTGCAGTAAACATTTTTATAAGCAAAGGAAGTTAAAATTTGAGATTTTTTTGAGTAAGGTTCGTTTGGTCGGTTCCAGATGTTGCCGTTTCTTACCCGTTCGGAGCACCAGTTCCTCGGCTGTAGTCTGCGTATGTTTGGCTTCTGTAGCTGTGCTTGCGGCAGCTTCTTGAGCTTTCTTGAGCTCAGCCTCTATCAGCTTCAAACTTGCTCGGAGCTCCTGATTCTCATCTTTCCTCCGACTCAGCTCCAGGCGCAGGACCAGACTCCCGTCTTCCACCAGCTTCGTGATTTCTGCCACCGCCGCCTTCGCCAAGACGTCCATGATGGCTGCGACCTGCGCAGGAAACGACGAGGGAAAAGACATCCTATGACCCGAAGATTAAACCTCAGCTATAGATGTAAGCTGAACTACCAGCTGATGCATGTGGTGAGATCCAACTCCCCTGCTGTTATTTTGGTTCCCTTCCGGGAAAATGAAAAAGCGGATATGATGTAAAACCGACGGCTGTAAAACTTCTAATAAACATAATAATGATTATAAATCTCTCATAATAAACGGAGCAGTGTTCTCTAATGCAGCGGTCCCCAACCCCCGGGCCTCGGACCGGTACCGGTCC